CACCTTGCTGGATTGTAGCCAATGGCCGAGATCCCACTGAATTAAGCATGCAATGGGAGCAGTCCTAAGTAGGGCTACTCAGAAGTAAGTGCTATTTTATTCCATGAGGCTTAGTCCCAGGAAAGTGTCCTTAGGATTGTGGCCTAAGAGCCTAACTAGATATTACATACTGCACCAAGTTCTCCATGGGGACTTGCAGCTGTAAGGTATCTGCTAGTTTCCAGCAGAAATGTATGCGTAACCAAGCGCAGGGCTCGGTTTGGATCAGGACTGCTGCACAGGAGAAGGAGGAATTCCTACCTTCTCCCCTGTTCTGAAACAGCCCAGGGGCTGGAGATGGGAGCCTAATTTTAACTGTGGAGAGCCAGAGCACATGCAAGCATTCAGTGCAGTTGCTGGCTCCCAACACAGCAAATCCCTTCCCCCTGCAGCACCCTCTGGGCTGTTTCAGCTGCTGAAAACAGCACAGGGAAGAAGGCAGGAATTTCTCCTTCTCCTGTGCAGCAGTCCTGATCCAAACTGGACCCTACAGTGCCTTTACTCACAAGTTGCCTCCAGGAACTAGCAGCTACAGTATAGCTGCTAGTCCCCATACTGAACTTGTGTATTCTGTAACATCTAGTTAGGCTCTAAGGATGCAGTCCTATGCCTACCTACTTGGTAGTAAGGGCCATAGAGTGTAGTGAACTTACTTTTGAGTACACACACACAGGATTGCATTGTTCCACCTATTGATTTTAGTGTCGTTTAAAGTTTCCCAAAATTGATAGTAATGTGTTTTTATTTAAATATTTTATGAACCACCTTCTTTTTCATTTCTGAGCTGAACTCATGCTTTTTCATTTTTCCTCAGGGGAAGGAAATCACAGTCTGACTACTTCATTGCCATAAGCATCATGATTTCAATCTATAAGTATCTTTCAAAAATGAAATCAGAGACCCAACAATCCTATATTCCATAATTTCTGGCCACCTCCCCAAGTTTTTACAGCTTTCCAAATGACTGTTGCCAATTAATATGTGATATGGAAACACTGACAATCTATTTCAGGAAGTTCTCCCCGCTATTTTATAGGATTTAAGTATTCCTTAGCTAGCCAATTACTTTCCTACTTATTCCTCTTGTTAAAAAGGAGGTTCAGCTATTTTAGAATTATTCTATAGGGTTTTTTTATTCACTCTCGGGGCAAGTACCTTTAATGAAGTTAGAAAATGTATCTACAACCTCGTTAGAAAGAACCCTTTGCCACCTTACAGTTCTTCCGTTGGGGGGGGGGAGAAAGGGGTTTTTCAAGTTTAATTTTATAGGCCAAATTAAAATGATTCTGCAGTGAATGCCTGCAAAGTTTCAATCTAGGAGAGAAAATGGAATAGCCAACAGAGGATGGATAAGCAAGAACGAAGATGCTAAGTCAAAACTATATTTAATATCCATAAGTTACGGAGCTGGTAAGCCCAAAAACCTAGGAATGGAATAAAGATCTGTCTTGTGGTCACTCCATTCTAAAAATATATAGAGTGTTGATGGCACACAGGAAAGCATACATTAACACCACCACTGTGGTACCCTGTAAAAGTCAATTTGGATATTTCTAACCTATTTTGTCAGGTTTCAATATCATGTCATTGTTAGGACCATGTCCATTCCACCCTTTTGGAATTGCACCATGCCAATGTAGAATTTGGTATGGGATAAGCAATTTAGGTCCACTGCTAAATGTGTTTAAGCGTGCACGTATTTATTTAAAGTACTCCCATCTCGTTTTTCTACATACAATTTACTCTAAGCAGTACCACAACCAAGAAGACTCTATTCCTGTTCATTGCTCACTTTGCTTCCAGTGGCAGAGATACCCAGAGACGGGCCTCTGAGACCAATGAATGAAGGGGCCTGTTCATATGGGAGGCAGGTCACCCTTCAGAACCCAGTTGTTTAGGGCTTAGCAAGCCAAAAGCAAAGAATTGTGCCTGGAATAACTGGAACTGTAGTTCTTGCAGCGCAGGGGTGTAATAATATGTTCGTTGCATCATGTTCCTGTGTCAGCAACATTGCTGGAACATTCTGAACGAGTCAAAGTTTCCTGGCGCTCTTCAAAGGTGTTACTGTGTAGAGGGTACTACAATAATCTTATCCCGATATAGTTCAGGCATTTCATTTGTGAGGAAGAGTTACAATCCCAGCCATGAACGGGGAAAGTAGTTACCTGAAAACTGGTAATATATTAATCTCATCCAATCAGTGAGCTGTGAAATCCAGAGCTGAACGTGGGAACTAGACAGACAGACACTCTCTGTGTGCATCTGAAGGAGAGGCAGAGAGAGCACATCCCGGAGAGAGAGAGGGTGTCTGTGCGCATACACAGGTTGCACAGGTGAGATCCAGGTCTTACCCATTCAGAGATTACATCTTTCCTACATGCGCTGCTGTGTATGTGACTCCCTGATCTGTGCAAATGCAACGTGAGATTCAGCCCCGAGAGAAAAATCTAATCAGACATGGGTTGCTGTATAGTGGGCAAAGATCACCTGCTGACTCAGAGAAATGATCTCTGGTTCTATTTTGTCCTCCTGGAACAATTCAACCAAGTGACTACTCAGAGGGACTCATTAGCATCTCTCACCTGTGTCAGGAAGGAGAGGGAGACGATAAATAAGCCCTTGGGGATCCATTAAATTAAATCCACTAAATACGGGAGGTGCTACAAAGAAATACACAGACTGCGTTTCTCGGTACTGAGTGGAGAAGTGAAACTGGTTAGAATTGAAACCAGCATTTATTGTTATTTATAGAGCACTGTCAATGTGTATAGTGCTTTGCATAATACAAGACCATGCACCCAAGCAGCTTACAATATAAATTTTACCATAAGGGAGACAACAAGAGGTGAAAGAAGGAATGACCAAGAAAAGGGTGTTTATTCCGTTCAGCTGAAGGTAGAAGGAGATTGGATTTATACCCCGCCCTTCACTTGGAGTCTCAGAGCGGGCTGCAGCTCAGTACACCCGCCACAGTGCCATCTGTACCACACCTCTTGTACTTTGAAGGCCAAACTAAACTTTATGGTGAGCAGAGAAGAGAGAAGAAGAGATTGGATTTATACCCGGCCCTTCACTCGGAGTCTCAGAGCAGCTTACAATCTCCTTCCCTTCCTCTCCCCACAACAGACACCCTGTGAGGTAGGTGGGGCTGAGAGAGCTCTTTTGAGGACTGCTCTTGAGACAACAGCTCTGAAAGAACATTGACAGTCCCAAGGTCACCCAGCAGCTGCATGTGGAGGAGTGAGGAATCAAACCCAGTTCTCCAGATTAGAGTCTGCTGCTCTTAACCACTACACCAAACTGGTACTTAGTTTCAGTGGAGAGGGGAATTTAGGATGTCTGTGCCCAGGCCTTCGCAGAACAGGTGGGTTGGAGGTGCTCATGGAGGCATTTATGGGCATAAGGGGCATCAAGAGGCAAAGTAATTTGGGGGTGTAGTGGTCCTTCAGAATCTGATTTTAGAGCGGCGGGGGGCAAGGCCACGGAAGGCTTTTTTCTATTAATTTTTTATTTTTTCAGAAATATTAAAGATACAGAAAAGAAAATGCACACAAAAAATGCACATTACATTTTTAAAGCATAACAAGAACTTTCGGTGATATCACAATAAAGGCTGTCCAGTATGCACATAAAATTTATAAAACTGAAAGGAAAAAAAGGAAACAATATAACAGAAGATATCAAATAATATAATATTCAACTAAAATACAAAGCATATTTTAGGGTGGTTTTTGGGTCTCCTAAATTTTGCATCTTAAATTCTAATCACTACGATGACATCGATATTTAGTAAAAAGCCAAAACAGTTCTAGAAGGCTTAATACTATAGTAATGGCTTAAAGAGATATAAAACACTAATTAGGCCACAGAAGGCTTTGAAGGCAGGGAAGAGGTGTTTGAGCTGGACCTGAGATCAGACACATTCAACATGAAAAATCTTCCATTTATTAAGTAAAAACTACCCTAACTCAAGGCTAGCAATGGTTCAGCTCTGCCCTTGCAACTGCAGCCCAGGAAGATACCAGATGGGTCCAGAGCATCGCCTTTAAAGAGCTACACCTAACATCTGCACTTCCTACTAGCTGGGCAGAAGACCTGGAAGATGGCCAGGGGTGTCCTGGCTGGGGAACTAGCCACATCCCTGTCTGGACTCCCATGAAGTTCACTAGAATCCCCCACACACACACTTGGGCCGTTCTAGCAGAGTCATCAGGGAGGATGGGCTCTGGCTGTCTAGAGTGCTGTAAAGAAGCCTGAGGAAGAGGAGGAGGATCCAAGGTGAAACTTAACCCCTCCTCTCTGTTCTGAGGTCAGGGGATCTTGCAGGGGACGACCCTGGGGCACTCACTGGCCCAGGAACCTGACCCAGCATTCTCAGGTGCTTACACTGTGGCAACAATAATTAACACCTGCACAGGACATTCAAGGATTCAGTGCGTGTGACGTAACTTATCTTGTTGATATTGTTACAACAGCCCTGCACAGAGGACTAGTGTTGTTATCCCCCCAATGCAGACGGAGGGCTAAGGAGAAGACAGAGGGTAGTTTGCCCACGCCACCCCCCCTTAAGTTGGGGGCAGAACTGAGATCTGAACCAAGGGTTTCCTGATTGATAGCTCAGTTGCTCAGGGGGCTTTGGCATACCAGCTTTCAACAGTACAGATGACGAGGCACCAGAATCAATACCCTCTGCCGATCATGTTCTGCAAACACACCTTCCTATAAATGTATTTTCAGAGATGAAGGGAAAATCTCAGCGTGAAAAAGCAGCCTTGAAGCTCACCCACAGTACACTTAATTGTATGTATTAAGTTTAATTTGCAACCCACCCTTCCTTTCCTGAAAATGCAGGGCAGATAACAGTGTGACATAAAAAGTGATTTTTTAAAAATAAAACCAACAATATTAACAGTATTTCATTTGTAAGCTATTTAATTTTCTATATAATTTACAATGCAGTTCTAAGGAGTGCTATCCTTTTTATAAGTTCATCTGACTTCAATCGGCTTAGAAGGGCATGACTCTTGCTGAGGACTTTCCTGTTCCAGTCTCCGCCAGGCCAGGGCAACATTGCCGAATTGCTTGCCTGTCCTCTCACAAGCCGGAACGCATTGGTTTGGCATACACTGGTTGCATGATATGGTGAACCAAAACCAAGAACAAAGATCCCAGGAAAATCACGCTTAAAATGGCGAGCAGAACGTAACGGCCGACGTAGAAGGTGTCCACGATCTGAGAAGGAAAGATAGTTCGTGTGTTACTGTGGGGCACGAAAATCTGGAGTGTCAGCCTCAAATAAACAAACTGCACTTCAAGACATAATAGCAGAGGCCATTTCGGGGGGGAACGCGGGGGAACACAGTTCCTCTGGGTGAGGTGCAGGGCACATGACAAAGCCCCGCCCCCTGCTTCCAGCCACCCCGCTTCCAGCCCTCATTCAGCCAGGAGGAGGCAGGAGAAGAGGGAGGGTAAGTTGCTTCCTCCCCGCCTCTCCCCACCCCTGCCTGCCTGGGGCCAGGGAGGGCCTTGACGGGGCTTCCTCGCACTCCCGCTGGCCTTGCAGGTCCACCGCCGAGCCCCTGATGTCAGGGGGTGTGGCATATGCTAATGAGTTATGCTAATGAGTTCCCCTAGCTCTTTTTCTACGAAATGACCCCTGCATAATAGTGTCTGAGGAAGTGTGCGTGCACATGAAAGCACACAATATGAATAAAACTTTGTGGGTCTTAAAGGTGCCACTGGACCCGAACTTTGTTCTACTACTTCAGACCAACACGGCTACCCCACTTGAACATAATCTCAGTGTGAACTGACCTAGTGCCCACAGTCACATGTTGCGAAGGGCCATCTTTATGGATTGCCAGTTTCTTTCCAGGCCCAATTCGAAGTGCTTGTTCTCAGTTTAAAGCCCTCGGTCATCAGGGATCTGTATGCCTTAAGGATCTCCTCCTCCCACACGGATGTGCCCTTGCGCTCACGAACACATACGAAGCTGCCTTAAGCTGTGCCAGAGAACCAGTCTATGAAAGTCAGTGCTGCCTACTCTGACGGGAAGTAGTTCCAGGCTCTCAGACCGAGGTCTTTCACATTACCTACTACCAGGTGCTTTTAATCTGAGAAGCTACAGATTAAACCCAGGGCCTCCTGCAGGCAAAGCACGTGCTCCAGTGCTGAGCCACAGCCCCACTCAGATCAACACCAGCAGCTATGCTCTGTGAACGGAATGCCGGACTACACGGGCCCTTCGTCTTCTTATGTTCTTCTTATGTGTTTTCTACCATCGTGGAAGTAGTGACAGACTTCACGTTCCTGGGATCCCAGATCACCGCAGACTGTGACAGCAGCCATGAAATTAAAAGACGCCTGCTCTTTGGGAGGAAAGCAATGGCGAACCTAAACAGCATGATAAAAAGTAGAGACATCACTCTGCCAACAAAAGTCCGCATGGTCAAAGCAATGGTATTCCCAGTAGTCATGTATGGCTGTGAGAGTTGGACTATAAGGAAGGCCGAGCGCCGAAGAATAGATTCTTTTGAACTATGGTGCTGGAGCAGACTCTTGAGAGACCCCTGGACTGCAAGAAGAACAAATCAGTCAATCCTAAAAGAAATCAACCCTGACTGTTCCATGGAAGGCCAGATAATGAAACTGAAGCTCAAATACTTTGGCCACCAAATGAGAAGAGAGCACTCATTGGAGAAGACCCTGATGCTGGGAAAGATTGAAGGTCAAAGAAGACGGGGACGGCAAAGGAAGAGATGGTTAGACAGTGTCACTGATGCAACGAACATGAAATTGAGCCAACTTCAGAGGACGGCGGAAGACAGGAGGGCCTGGCGTGATCTGGTCCATGGGGTCGCGAAGAGTCGGACTCGACTGTGCAACTGAACAACAACAACCATCTGGTGTGCAACAATGTCTTGATTAGCTCTCGGTCTGTCCCAGTATGCCCTGACCTGGACAGCCCAGGCTAGCCTGATCCCGTCAGATCTCGGAAGCTAAGCAGGGCCAGCCCTGGCTAGTATTTGGATGGGAGACCTCCAAGGAATAGCAGGGTCATGACACAGAGGCAGGCTACAGCAAAACCCCTCCGATACATCTCTTGCCTTAAAAAACCCCAAACAAGTCTAGCTTGCCACCTAGGGTGCATAACACTAAAAGAGCCAAAACTTCTGGCTGCTAGACAATCTTAGGATCTCCTGCCTATTCTACACACAATGCCATCCATAGGAAACATATTATTATTTGTTCCAGTCACCCACTTCTCCCCAGACACACACCCCCTTCTCTTCTGTCTACTAGTCTTCAGAACTGGCTAAAAGCAAATAAAAAAATCTAAGTTAGGGTTGTGAGTGACTTGCTTAATCAATCAATCAATCAATTAAATCTGCATACTCTTTCACAGGAGAACATCATTCTAAGGAAAAACTAATTCAGATGATGACATGATGCATGTTGCGGCAGGCCTCGTCTTGGAAGAGGGATTCCCAGCTCTCTCACACACAAGAGGGAATGCCTCTTCTGAGATCTTTATTTTGTTTATATTCCACCTGTCTCGCAGAGACCTATAGAGAACAGTGCTGGCCACCTGCAGTTTTTGTAAGTTTTTACACTGAAAAGCACCTTTTAAATCAGTCAGTTAAAAGCCAATTAATTTGCACATGCTGACTCTGGAGGAACCAGCATTCTTTCTTGGCTTTTAGATAATATATGGACATTCCACAGGAGATAACTCCTCAGCTTTCTGTCCTATGTGATGGAGGAAGAAGAACAACTCTTTTAAGATAGATCCTACTATAGTTTTTGTAAGAACTCTGTATTAAAATTAGTTAGATTTTTTAAAAAAATGCTTCCTGATAAATTCGGACACAATCCAAAATGGTTGGAGAGATTAATTCTTACTTATTAATCAACTATATTTTGCCATTCTAATTCTTAAGTGCCCTCTTGGTAACCATTCAGCTTTAGATTCCAGAGGGGAAGCCACATTAATACGTTGAAACAAAAAACACCGAGAGTCCTGTGGCATCTTAAAAGATCAGTAGCTTGTTGTGGCCGAAGGTCCCCTGAGCCACAGCCCACTTCATCGGAGGCCTGGAAAGTTACTCTCCATTAGCAGCTCTAGCAAGATCATTAGTCTCCACTCATACAACCCACCGAAGCAAGTCAGCAGTAGCCTGTACAAAGCTCGCTCCCACCCAAGAGGGTTTCCAGTTCTTGTTTATAGTAGAGACTTCTGTAATTAATAAATGCACAATTAACTTTTAAAGTTTCCATCCATGCTCATTAGTGCTTGGATTATTTGCGAAAAGCAGCAAGCCTGGTTTGCATATCAGATGCACTCCCACCTGCCCTCGAGACACACCCCCTCCCCTTAGAGTTAACACTGCTGCTATGGCCACAAGAAGAGCCCTGCTGGATCACACCAACATTCCATCTCGTCCAGCATCCTGTCTCAAACAGGGGCCAGCCAGTTCCTCTGGAAGCCATCCGTCTGCCCTGCCGGTATGAACAGGGATGCATGATGGGACAGTGGAGAGGAGTGGGCTTGAAACTGCCATGCGGTTACAGGGAACGAAGCTCTGGATTACCAGTTAGGAAAAAAGGAAGAGTTTGATAGTGTGAGACCCCCATCTCCCCCCTCCTCCAAATAAGACATGGATTCCAAAACCGTCATCCCAGCTCCCAGGACTGTTCGACACTCTGCTTACAGCAAAGGTGAGTTTCATGAAACAGCATTAACACAAGCTTGACCTCGGCTCTGCTACGGAACAAGTCTCCCGAGGGCGACATGTTTGCTCGTTCAACACGCTTCACTTTTTAATTAGCCAATTAGCAGACTTTGGGTGCTGAAAGCTCAGGGCATGTATTATTGATACCGGATTATGCTGGGCGGCAGGTGCAGTTGGGGGCTAGAGAGCCTCGGAAAGGAACTTTTTGTTGTTGCATGGGCCTGCCTCAAGCATGCACAACGCCTCCGCCTTGCATCGCCCTGCTTTGATTCTGCAATGTGGAGCAAAACAAAAAGGCAGACATAAAGAGAGGGCTGAAGAAAGAGGAGAGGGGCGAAATCTGAATTGTGGAAATACGAGGACTTGAACCCTGGCCTGTTGGCTGGTTGGCGTTGGTTTCCACACTGCAGCAGGACTACTTTGCATGACTCCACCTCAAAGCAAGACGATTGGCTCTTGCTGACGTCAGCTGAGTCAGCGATGCTTCTCTGACAGCCTGCAGTCCATTCCCGGATCCTCTGGTCCTCTGTACCTTCTTTCCCCTGGACCTGTTATTTTACTGCCACTCTTTGAACCAGGCCGGGACAGAAAGGGCAAAAAACTGAACCTTAACACTAAAATTCAGAACCTAACAAAGGTTAGCAAAATGTGAAAAAGAGGGCCAATATTAAAAACTAAATGTAAAAGATATATAGAGAAAGCTACATGTATTTATTAAGTACAAATTTAAAACATATATGAAGAACACTGTGGCAACACAATCAAAGAAGGCAATTCTTGGACCAAAAGTCTATACTTTAGAACCACTGGGCGAGTGATTGCACTTTTAAATATCTCATTTGCATATTTATTCTGTGCCTGGTGGTTTTATTCTGGAAAAACTTTTTTTCTGGTCCATACTGAATTTATATTTTGTATCCATTCTGATTGTGTCTACATGATTGTATTATATTTTTATAGCCATCTTGCCACTCAGTTGCTTGACCTCTGAGGAAGGCCTATGCAGGCCGAAACGCGTCAGGTCAGGTTTTTAAAGCCCGTGTGTATTGCTATGTTATTTATATATTTGATATGAATGGGCCCTTATATATGTTTTAAATTTGTACTTAATAAATACATGTAGCTTTTCCTATATATCTTTTACATTTAGTTTTTAATATTGGCCCTCTTTTTCGCATTTTACTAACCTTTGTTAGGTTCTGACTCTTTGAACCTGCCCAGGTCATTAACTTGTCCCTGCGTTCTGCGCTTTGCAAGTCTGATGTCCTCAGCTCTGATCCAGACCAAGTTTCTTGTGGGTAACACAAGGCAACCAAGATGATTAAGGGGCTGGTCAACCTTTCCTACAAAGAAAGGCTAAGGAGTCTATGATTTTCGGTTTAGAACAAAAGATGAAGGGGTGGGAGGGACATGATAAGGGGTATATAAAATTATTTGTGGAATGGAGAGAGCTTTTTCTCCCCTTCCCACAGTACTAAAATCGAGGACAGTTCCCTCGTC